TGGCTTTCCTACCACTAAACCTCTCTGTGCTCGAAAAGTAGTGGCTTGGATTATAAATTGGTATTTCCAGAGTAGACGTCACAAACTGATGGTCCATGGCTGCATTGACCCACAGACATGCTATGTTTGGTGGAAGCGAGACTGGGCATTCTATGCCCATGAATAGTCTCGGAAACCCACAGGGGGTTGCTATGGGTCAGCATTGCCTCGATGGCAGTGAGTCTGATTTTTGGTTTGGTATAACAAGTTGTCAAAGGAACTTTTACATAAAACCCTGAATGTCCAGTTTCTTTGGAAAACACCACTGCACTGGCTGTACAGGCCACACTGTAACATAGGCAACCATCACTGGAGCTGGGAATAAAGCACCCTCTGGCAGAGCAGTGTGCCACAGCCCCCACCACCCCCTATTGCCTCACACCCAGCTCTTTGTGCATTTAAGTCCCCTGAGTAAGGAGCCCTGGCGGCACCGTGGGACCTGTGTAGGGCTCCCCACTGCAGGGTTAGCCATCAAACGCCCCGGCTGCTCTGCCGGAGACCGATGTGGCTGTCTGCTCGCCTGGGGCTGAGTCCTCATGAACCGTGGGTGGGCTCTCGCCGAGTCGGCATCTACTCGACGGCAGCGGGTTTGGGTTTGGATTCTTTTCTGACTCCTCTAAGTACGGGGTGTTGTGAGTTTTTATGGAAGCTTACGCAGCCCTGCTTTAACTTTAAATTAAAGGCAGAGAAAAACTCTGTTGAATTGGGGAATCAAGTTCTTTTTGGGGGTTGGTGGTCATAGTTTAATTCCTGTGTGGTGGAGACTCTTTTAGGGTATCCAACGACTAGTCAGAGAAAGAGGCAGGCTAACCAGCCGGTGAGACCGGATACACAGGGTAGAAAGGATGACTCCTCTGGCCCAGGCCACTGTTAATCAAAGGGCTCGAGTCATGGCAGCCACGGGGACTGTGCGGCCCAGGGTGTCCGATGTTGAACTATGAAGTAAGACTCCAATTCCCATCTTAGCTTTGCTCCCGGCTAACTGCGTGGGTTTGTGCACATGGCCAAGCCCACTCTCATCCTGTCCACCAGTATCATAGAGTGCTCTTTCCAAAATGCGATTATAGCCACAGACATAGTCCAGAATTAGATCACCAAAGGAATTATGGTTAGAAGGGCTGTATTAATGGACTACGACTCACTTCCTTTCTCGGTTGAATACTTAGCGTTGGAGATGCTTGGGAAATTGTCCTGGTAGTTGTTGTTGTGGGGTGTCCTGGAGTCAAGTCTGACCGTCGTGGTCCCACGTGAAACAGAAGGTCCTGTGCTGTCCGTCTCTGAGCCCATTGTTGCAGCCACCGTGTCAGTCCTTCTCCTCGAGGGACTGCCCCTCTCCGGCTGACCTTCTACAAGCATGAGGTCCTGCTCGAGGACTGGTCCCGCGCTGGCACGTCCAGAGTCTGTGAGATGGCGGAGTCCCGTCATCTTCAATTCCAAAGACTCTCCTGCCCGTGCTTCTTCCGAGACAGACTGGTTCGTTTTTCTGGCAGCCCGTGGTCCTCCCGCTGGCCTTCCCCTGCTCCGTCATTCAGGTGCCTCGACTCTTCTCCGGCCTGCCTTATTCAATGTCCAGCTCCCACGTACATAGGCGGAGACTGAAAACGCCATGGCTTACGGGCTCAAGTAGAAAGAAAATGTTTTGGAAATGATGAGGGCAACATGTACAAGTGTGTTCGACACAATTGATGTATGGATTGTTAGACCATCTGTAAGAACCCCCAATAAGATGATTAATAATAATAAAAAAGCTAAGACAGAGGCACAAACATAAGCTAATGTTATAATAAAAGACCACAATTTAGTTAGATGTATCCATAGTTCAATCTTGCTTTTAGTTTCCATGTTCATTTTTTAATCGAAATCAACTTCCTACAATGAACTAGACTGTAAATATTTTCAGCATTAAAGAAATCATTTTATTGGGGGCTCTTACAGCTCTTATAACATCCCATACATCAGTTGGATCAAGCATATCTGTACATATGTGGCCATCATCATTTTCCAAACATTCATTTCTATTTGAGCCCATGGTATCAGCAACTTATTTTTCCCTTCCACCCTCGTGACCCCTTGATATTTTCAGCTTTTATGTATGGCCTCTGTCACTATTACCAAGCTCTGCCTTTGTAAGACCAAAGAAGTCATCGGTAATATATAAATGAATGGTCATAGCTGGATTCCAATAAAACTTTATTTACAAAATCAAAAAAAGAAAGAAAGAAAAGACACCAGGGCTTGGGTCAGGCACACCTTAATCTCCAAAGTGGCATCTTGGCTTTTTAAGGCTTCCCAGAGGCTGATGCCGCAGGTTTGCCCCATGTGGTACTCGGCATGGTTTCTTGGCTGCGGCTTTCCTGGGTATTGTGATGCGGATGCAAGTAAATGGAAGCCTTGACAACTTGGGTCTTTTCTCCGTCTGTCAGGAGACTGCTGCGTGGTCGGCTGTCAGGGTTCTGTTTTCTTGCTGCTGGGGTGAGCTCCATACTGAAGGCTGTAGCCTTTGACGTTCATCAGTGAGGACTTTCAGACCCCTTGGCTTTGGGCAGACAAGGTTGTGTCATCAGATACCGCCTGTGGTTCCTCCAATCCTGGTGCCCGTTCTTTTTCACACAGGCCTCGCTTCTCAGGTGATTGGCTCGGCACACTTTTGAAGAAGTATGGTGAAAGGATGCAGCCAATGCCCGCCTGCCCTGATTTTAAATGCCGTCTCCTTGTGCTCTGTTTGAACAGCTGCGGTTTGGTCTATGAACCAAGTGTTTCTGCATGAGCACAATGAAGGGTTCTGGCAGTCTCCTTCTTCACAATGTTAGGCACAGCGCATTAGGGTCACACAATCGAAGGACTCAGTGTAGTCAATGAAATGCATGCACAGATCGGCCTGATATTTTCTCCTTTTGGTCGAGATCCACGTGATGTCAGCAAGGCTTCCTCGGTCCACAGCCTCTTCTGGCTCTGGCTTGGTTTTCCGGCAGCTTTCTGTTAATGTGCTGCTGCAACCGTCTTTGAATGGCCTTTAGCAAAGTGTTACGTGTGTGTGGTATTGATGGTATCATTCGATCATTTCCACATTCCGTTCAGCCACCTTCCTTTGGAATGGGATCTCTCCCAGTCACTTCGCCAGGTCGCTGTCTTCCGGGTTTCTTGGCCCGGATGAGTTCTCACTGCAGCTATGCATCCATTTGCTGGAACAGTTCACTTGGTCGATTCCTGGAGCCTTATTTTTTGGCAGTGCCTTCAATGCAGCATCTTCCTCCAACGTTCGCTGGTTCTTGATCATCTGCTACCTCCTGAAATAGTCGGACACCGCCCCGCTCTTTTTGGCACGTGACTCTGTATTCCGTCCATCTTCTTTGGATGCTTGCTGGGTCATTCTTGCCCATTTGACAACTCGAGGCTTGTTTGTTTTTGTAATCCTCTGGTCAGCTCTTTCACTTCATCCTTTCTTTTGTTCACTTTGGGTGCTCTGCATTCAAGGGCAAGCCTCAGAGGCTTACGTTCGGGGCGGATCTGGTTAGCTAGGTGAACTGGCATGTGCCCAAGGGAAACTCCCACCGTGTGTTTCAGATAGACACTCCCCTCGGTTTCTTGGTGAGCTTTTACCACATAGATACTCGTGGTCCTACCACAGAGGCCCTTAGTGGTCGGAAGAGTTAACGCTCTCAGCTGTTAAGCAGAACATCGGCGGTTCGAGTCCACTCAGAGATGCCTTTGAAGAAAAGCCCAGTGCTCTGCTTCTAGAAAAACAGCCGCTGAGAATGGGGGGACACAGTCCTGCTCGAACAGGGCGCCCAGAGTTGACCGACTAGCAGCTGGGATGGGGTGGGGGTGGGGGTAGGGAGTGGGCAGGGACAGACCTCCAGGGTCGGAGCCTCAGCAGTGACGAAGGCCCATCTGCTCCATTATCAGTCCTCCTGGACAAGGTTCCCTGTTAGGATCGCTGTGTGGCTCTCGTCCCTCCCTCTTGTTGTTAGAGCGCTTTTCACTTCCGCAAATAAACCCAACTCTAATTGCTGTGGAGTCGATGCTGAGTCCCCCGTGGGTTTCCGAGACCGTAACTGTTTACTGAGTAGAAACCCAGTCTTTCACCCTCGGAGCTGCTGCTGGTTTCGAACTGCCGACCGTGCGGATCACAGCCCACCGCGTGACCACTTTCACTTCCTAGCTCTGGGTTTTCTGGATGGCTGTTTTGCTGCCATCAGGTTTGTATCTGCCTTTTGGTTGTTTGGTTTTTTTCCCGTCTTTTGAACTCCGTCTGGATTGGGACTTCTCCAAGCCATGTCTCTGGACACACGGGAAATCCCTGTGAGGTGGTAAGAGGAGAGAAGAAGGGGTTCTTGCATTGTGGGGAATGGCCTGGGAACGGAAGCAAGAAAGACCCAGGGACCCACATGCTGTGGCCAGGAGGGGCCCTGGCTGCAAGAGCTTGACTGAAGGGCCTGTAGCTCTGCTCCAGTAAAAGCTACAACCCAGGAAACCCCTTGGGGCACAGTTGGCCCTGTCTCACAGGGGTCGCCAAGTCAGAACCAATGGCGTGAATTCAGGGCTGTTTGCTATTTGTGGCCTGGGAAGGGAGTTGCTGGAGACAGCCACAAAAGTGTGGGGTCCTGGGGTTCCAAGCCTGCCCCCTGTTGTCATTCTCCATGGTCCATGTGCATACCCCCTCTTGGTAGTACTTAATGGCATCACTAAGAATGGCCCAAGGATATGTGTCCACCAGGGGTGTGTGTTAACTAGTAAAAGGCCGTACAGGAGAGTGAGATGGGCTACCCGTGGGGACCAGGTGAGCAATTGAAGCGCTTGGGGGTCACATCCAAATTTCCATCTCTGTGACCCTGTGTGTTTCAGGACCTCGGCCTGGCTGTGGTTAAAATCCTCCGGGGCTGTAGGGGCGGTCTTGTGGTGCTCCTGGTGGGGGAGGGGCACAGCCAGACCATCTGCCAACTGCCCTCTCTGTGCCCTAGGCTCTGGAAGAGGACCTGAGCCAGAAGAAGCGGGAGCAGGAGATGTTCTTCAAGCTGAGTGAGGAAGCAGAGGGCCTGAACCCTCCCACGCCTAACAAGACCACCAAATTCTTCCCCTACAGCTCTGCGGAGGCTTCGTAGTGGCCCCTGGCCTGTGGCTGGCAGCTGGCCAGGCCTCGGGGGCCTCCCAGTCTCTGTGAACAAGGAACACTCGGGCCCCAGCCCTCTTGCTTCTGTGCCACCTGAGCCCCGCCCCTTGCCCTGTGCCGCCCAGCGGTGCCTAGTGTCCCCGACGCTCAGGCACTTGTCGAGGGGACACCACAGTCTCGGAGGCCTGATTCTCATGCCTGCTGGTGGGGACCGGGCCCTGGAGGAGTGTGTGCTCTGTGGCCTTGAGGCTGCTCCTGTTTGCCAAAGCACCAGGGTCACTGTCTGCGGCCCACGTGCTGCTGTTCTGTTGGTGGTGGCGTGGCTCAACTGTCTGTTAATCTGAGAGCTTTTCAACCCCTGTGTGCAGAGTGCCAGACAAGACTCGGCCCCCACCGCCTTTCCCGGTCCAGCTGGAGCTGCCTGGGGCACCCGCATCTGCACCCCACCTGTCTCCCAGTTTGCCTGCCATGTGAGAAGAGGCTGTGCCTGCCGCTGGGAGGCCCCAGCTGTTAGTTTGGCAGGTCTTGGGTGTCTCGTGCCCCCCACTACTCACACACGCACAGCCTGCCTCCACCCTGGGTCTCTGGAGCACACATGGCTGGGACACGCGTGCTGCCTGAGCGTGGTAGAGCAGTTGGTCTGCAGCATGGTAGGTGTTGGCGCCAGGCACAGGCTGCACTCCACATGCGCCCTCTCTCCAGCGATGTTTTCCTCACCTTGCAAGACTTTCACAGCGCAGCTGGCTCCCGTCTCATACCTGTCCACCTGTCCACAGGTAAAGATTCGAGAAAGCTGCTGACCTCCGCCCTGTGCCCCCTCCGTCCAGCCTTACATTTCAGACTGAGGCTGCTCATCACTTGAATTTCTCTTCAGGAGTTAAAAAGCACCGGGGAAAGGCTTAGTGCGCCTGCCCCCGAGGAACCTAGCAGGAGCCACGCTTGTGTGTCTCCAGGGGGCATCTTGGGCCTGCAGGCCATTCACTGGGCGCCCCCACCACCACCACACACACACCCAGATCCTGGTCCCCAGAGGTCATCTAGCTCAATAAAAGGACTTGCTCAAACCAGCATGCGGTTTATTGACAAAGAACACCTTTCGCCACTTTGATTTCTCATTGCCCGTTGAAACAAGCATAGATAATAGCTGCGTGGAGCTCCAGGCAGCCTCCAGAACAAACACACATGCACGTGTGCACACACATGTGCACTCTTGGGCTCGTGGGCACATCAGGAGTGTGGGTTTGCTGGTGATCGAGCCTCTGAAACTCCCGGAGAGGATGTTCTCCTTTATTAACAGTGAAGATCAATTCCTTGTCTGTTTCAAGCAATCCTCAGGAAAGTTTTCTCTGCTCCAGTGTTAACTGGGTCCTTGGGAAGCAAGTGCAGGGACACTTGGGGGGCGCGGGGTCCCCAGCCTTCCATCAGCAGTCGTGATGTTCTCTGAGCACCGAGGAGGGCAGGGCCCTCCTGGGTGAGGAAGCAATCCATTCAGCTTGCCTGCTCAGTACTGGACCCAGATGGGACATTTTCAGGCCTCACATCCATGGGACAAGTTAACCGACAGTCACCTTGCGTTGGACTTGAGGTGCAGGTGCCAGGGAAACACTGGCTGCAGTATGATCCTGAGCAAACCAGTGGGTGACGGGCCCTTGTGGCCACCATCTCCTGGGGCAGCCTACGGGGGTGAGGCTGGGGCTGAGGGCTAGGTCCAACGCCAGCTCTTGGGGCGGCGTGCCTTGACTCACCCTGTTAGCAAGCTCGCCTTTCCCTCCCTCAGAATTCCCTTCCAGATGTTGTGGCTTCCCTGCTCAGGGCCATCCGCCCTAACAGCCCCGGGGCCTTTCTGACTGCCATCTGCTCAGGCCTCCCCACTGCGACATAGGCAGTGCCCACCGCTGCCAAGCCCCCTGCCTGGCGTGAGTGAGGGACAGGCAGGGATGTGTCTCATTTACAGCCCATTTTTAGCAGAGTAAATATAACTAACATATTTTCCCCCTTCATGAAGGACAGAAGTTATTTTTATGTCGTTTTCCAAACTTTCTACAAAACTTGTAAAATGTGCTCTGCAAAGTTAAGTGCAAGAATGTAAATATGCTAATAAAATAACAAGGCGAGCAGCTCTGGGTTTTGCATTCTGGGGTGCTCCTTAGGGACTTGGGTGGGGAAAGCAAGTCTTTTGGACTGGTAGGAAAGGGCTGTTTTTCTTCGAAGGGACCCGCTTCCTCCCAGTTCACAGAGCAGGGCGGGGCTTGGGGTGTCCACTCAGATAAGTTAATGTTGGGGGAGACATTACAGAGAGTGTTGTGTGTGTGTGCGTGCGCGTGCACATACACTATATTCATTTAGCAGCATTCTCATTCATCGACAAACATCAGTTGACCCCTAAGAACATTCAGATGTTAATTTACTGAATCTAATAGCCCTAACAGGAGGATTGTGTTCTCATTGTGCAGGTCTGCCCAAACCTCACAGCACCTGGAAAGGATACCTGTGGGATTCACACTGAGGCCTTCTGAAAGGAGATTGGCAGCCAGACGCTAACCACCCCCAGGGGTTTCAGAGCTCTGTGGGCAGGGACCAGGGTGTACTTGTCCTGCCCGATAGGCAGAGGAGGGCAAAGGAAAGGGGTGAGGTTGGCAAGAATCTTAGCACAATGTGTGTGTGTGTGTGTGTGCGCGCGCGGGGTAGGGTGGGGTGCATTTCTGCAGGGCCGGTAAGACACGTTTCCGTGTCAATGGATGAGGTGCGGGGTGGGGGGAGTCTGAGTTCACCCTTCCCCACAATGACTGATAGACTGGTGGGATCTGAGACAAGGGCACTGCCTGAAGGCTAGGGTGCAGGGATGCACGTGCCTGGGAAGAGGAGAACACGGCAGAGAACCAGCCAATAGCAGCAGGCCTGTCAGAAAGCCAGCCAATGGTGGGAGGGCCACCGTTAGCCGAATATAAGGTTCGACTCTATCTATTCTGAGGCCTTTGAGACTAGCTAAGGGCCCTTTGAACTCCCCCTCGCCCCAAAGTATCACCTTCAATAAAGTCATCTTTTCTGTTCAACCCTTTTCTCTGATGACTGAATTTTCCCTCACCTGACATCTTTCTTGCGAGCAGGGCAAGGACCTTGAGCTGCTTCCCTGCAACTGTTTCCCAAAGTGAACCGTCCCGCCCCTGGGGCCCTGGGATGACCGGGGAGGCCTGGGATCATGGGCTATGGTACAAACGTTTGTAAGGCTCTGGGTGTGTGTGTGTGATTTTTGCCCTGTGCAGGTTGTAGCAGGTCAAGTAAGTTTGGAAACCAGTGGGCTAGACAGCGGGTCCGTGTTCGTTTGGGCGAAGATAAAGGCGGCACGTGGTAAGTGGGAGGTCAGCAGAAACAATGGAGGCAGCGCAAGATGGGAGTTTCTCAAGCATTCAAGGCAGCGGAGGCAAACACTGCTGCGAACACCGTCCTGCGCTAGCGGGAGCCAACAACTGATGCAGGGCTAGGTGTGCAGGTGTGGGAGGGAGGGTGGGGGTGTATCTAGGAATAGATACCTTTGTACACGTGTATTTATGTGTGGTGTAAATGTATCCATGAATTGTGGAGCATGGGGGGGTGGGCAAAGTTATGGGAACTTAGACAAAATCACACACCTTGAGAGAACGAGTCAGGGGGCCTGGGGGTTGAGGGCCTTCACCATTGTCTCGGGACACCAAGATCACGCAGCATGACAGAGTCCACAACAAGGATACTTCGGTGAGCAGCGTCTGGGGCCTTGGAAGTGACTGACGGTGAGCAGTCACCGAGGATGCATCTCCTGGTCTCTCCCCGTGTGGAGGAAAGAAGTGATG